TTTAGATCTTCCTTCTTTCTCAAAAATAAACAATATTTCCTTTTAAAACTTATTTCCAGAGGATTTATAAAGTTATTTACAAAGGATTTTAAAAAGCATGGTGGTCCAGTGGTTAGAATGCAGTACTGCAAGCTGATTCATTGCTCACGTCAGCAGTTCAATTCTCACCAGCTCAAGGTTGACTCAGCCTTCCATCATTTCGAGGTCGGTAAAATGATGGCCCAGATTGTTGGGGGAAATATGCTGACACTGTAAACCACTTAGAGAGGGCTGTAAATCACTGTGAAGCAGCATATAAATCTAAATGCTAGTGCTATTGCTAAACCAGCTAGACACATAAAAAGTTGGTCTAGAGTACCCAGGAATCTAGACCAACTCTTCTGATTTAAGTTTATTTATATTATAACTTAATGAAGTATTGCCATGAGCATATGTATATGTTAATAATGGCTTGTATATCAATAGCATGTGTAGAACCCTAGACACAATCCCCAATTTTAATAAAGTGGGATTAAAACCAGCATCTGCCTCCTGAAACAATCATGTCAATTGATTCTGGTAGAATAATGTGGTCCTAGAAATTGACTTAGACCTGAATACCTATTAAAAGCAAGCCCACAATACAAATGGGATACATTCCTGGCAATGTATGTCAGCTTATAAGTGGGGGCACTGCGTTTTAAAACAACTTGAGCTACCTGATGGTCTTTAAAGGCTGCCTGTGGAGAGCAGTATTCCAGCTCGGCGGTGATGAAGACATAAATTATACTATGGCTAAGTCCTGGTTGCAGATACCTCTGGAACTGGCACATGAGCAAGGGTTGTGTAAAAGCCCAGATGGCCACTATGTTTATCATCTGCCTAATAAAATGAGCTTTCAAAGAAGATTCAAGTTGAGGTCTCCTACTTCAGGCCTTAACAAAAAGTGCTACAATGCATTAAAATAATAATTTTAATATAAAATTAAAAACTTTATATAGTAAAAACAATAGGGTTAGAGATTTCCCCAAATTCTGTGAGGTCATTTACAATTGTCATTATAACTAAAACCATTTTACCTAAAATTTGCAAGAAGCAATATCCAACCTTTCATATTTGGTGCAAGGGCAGCTTCCCTCTTGTTTTGTAAGCAGGCTTTCAGAATTTAAAGAAATAATGGCATCCAATCTCCCAAAATGTAAAGAGATAAATCAGGATGGTATCCCATCTCCCAGACAAAGGAAAAATGTGTTTCAACCATTGGTTTCTACCCATCTCTCTTGTTCTGAAGAAAAAAAATAGAATAGCTGCAACCAGAGCAAATATGGCAGATTCCTAGGAATTCTAAATGTTAAAGTTGCCCCTCAAGCAAACAAGAATTCTACTCTTTCTGGATGAAGCATTGGTTTTCTTCCTTTGGATTATGGATGTTTACAGCAGCCTGAATAGCGCATTCGCATCATTGTAGCTCATAGCAGCTGTTTATATTTATAATGTATACACAAGATTTCCCTAAGTTTGATTTTAGACTTTTGAAATTAAGGAAAATTGTGTGTTGCAGTAATTATATCTCTTTGTTCAGGGATGAATTTCAGTATGGAATTAAAAGCGGGGGGGGGGACAGTACAAGCTAGTAAATGCTCAAGATTTAGACGGTAAACAACTTACTTTTAGAGAATTATCAGTAAGAAAGAGCAAAACAAGACAAATTTGCCTCCAGTTCCTTAAATGTTGGTTTAAGTGGTTGTCCATAACAGGAAAGAAGAATCTTGCAGACTCTTGTGGATATGATATTTCATTTGTTTGCTATTTTTATAAATACATTTCAAAGTTTGGGAGACTTATATTTAAAAGCTGGCAGTGAGCAGTATGAGCTCAGCCTTTCCACTACATTAAAAAAAGGTTAAGATTTAATTTTGGCCAGAGAACTGCTGCTTTTTAAAAAAAATCTTCCCTTTCCCAACCATATTGTGTAATAGCAGATACATGATTAAATATGGTGCTAGGACAGCAGCTAAAAATACATCACATAAACGGCAGGAAACATTATCTGTTTAACTTCTTCCCCAATTGCTTTTAGTTACCTGCTTATTTAGTGAATGTAAAAACAAATAAATGTGATACAACAGTAGTATACATTACATGTTTATACTATACTGACCTTCCCTAATTACAGATAGTCCTGAACTTACAAACATTCATTTAGTGACCGTTCAAAATTANTTTTTTGATATGCCATTGTTCTTAACAAAACTTCAGATTTTTACAATGAAACTGAAATTAAATTGAATGCTTTGCAGTCATATCCTTCTAAAAATATGCCACTGTGTTCCTATCATGTGAAAAAGCTCTGAGCAAATGAAAACATTAAATTGATTTCAAGTTCTTGAAAGATAGATTCTACAATTAGTGATACACATCTTTTGATGCCATTCCAAATGCGGTCTTGACTCTTGATATTCTTACTCACGTCATAAAATAGGGAGTTGCAACAACTGCCAATTCACTGAGGAAATATATTGTGCTACTCAGAGGTGGGGAGTGAGTTAAATAAACAAATATAAAGCCAGCTGGGAAGGAAAGGATTTTATTTCTTTAAATCACCATGTGCTTCTTTTCTCTTTCAGCAGCAGGATGGAATTGAATTGAGAAAGCATGCTGACTAACAAGCCAGAATTTGTAACTTCAAAATCGTGATTTGTGTAGCCTGCCCTGGGAGTTTGAGCTGCAGAATCTTTCTAAGGGACTCCAGAAGTGTTTAAACAGCCATGGCACTCTTCACTCCATGGAAATTGTCCTCTCAGAAACTTGGCTTCTTTCTGGTGACTTTTGGCTTTATTTGGGGAATGATGCTCCTGCATTTTACTATTCAACAGAAGACTCAGCATGAAAGCAGTTCAGTGCTTCGTGAACAAATACTGGATCTCAGTAAAAGATACATAAAAGCACTAGCAGAAGAAAATAGAAATATAGTGGATGGACCTTATGTTGGGACAATGACTGCATATGGTAAGTAGGTTTGCGTAGATTCCTACACTGAACCTGCAATATTTCATGCCTTATTCAGTATATGGCTAGTCAACTCATCAGCCTATATAGCTGGGGTTTAGATCTTCCTTCTTTCTCAAAAATAAACAATATTTCCTTTTAAAACTTATTTCCAGAGGATTTATAAAGNTTGTAACTTCAAATGGTGACTAAACAAATAGTTGTAAGTCAAGGCTACCTGTTCTATGGGTTATTTCAATAAAGTAGAATTCTGGAATTCTAACATCTCTATTACCTGACCTGGCCTATGTCAAAGGGCTGGCAGACTCCAACCAGATGCCAATGGATAGTTCCCAAGCAGGAAATGAATAGAGCATTTGCACTATAAGCAATGACCTCTTCATCCAGATTCTGTCTGATTATCCTTGGAACTTTGAAATAAGCCAGTGATGGAGTTTATAATATATAAGAAGCTTTCATTTTACACATTATGGATAGCACAAAACTAAAGTATGAGCAATAAAAAAAAGGAACTTAATCGTTTGAGCAAATAGTAGAAGGGCTTATCCATTATTGAGGTAAGAATTGGAGAGTAGGGCATTACATGGATTTATTTAAATCAATACACATCATTTCCATGATGTCACTATATAAATTGGTGCAGACAACATTTGTATAATGAAATTGTGATGCAAACTGCAGTGGAAATATGCTCTGCTGCAGAAGAAATCTGTTGCATTGAAGCCTAGTAAAATTAGGTTTCACTGGATAATTTTTTACAAAACTGCCATCTCTTCAAGATGCTAATAAAGGATTCGGGTTCTGCAAGTAATTTCCAAATAAGAAATTATATTTAAAAGATCCATAGTCTGTCAAATAACAGAAGTAGTTCCTAGATAAAATCATTTTGTTAACACACTGCATTCAACAAAGTTCTGAAAGTGTAGGAGGATGTTAGAAGAATTTTGAAATAATGTCCTTTCTAGTATTAAGGAGTTGGAGGATGCATTACAAACAATGAAGTTTAATTACTGTTTAAGTATCCTCTTGTATTCTCCCTACATATTTTATTTTGCTCTCTGCATCTATAAAAGAGTTTAGAAATTAGTTGGACACACACAGATAATAGCAGAACCAATAGCAATAGCACTTAGACTTATATATCGTTTCATAGTGCTTTATAGCACTCTCTGAGTGTTTTACAAAGGGCAACATATTGCCCCCAACAATCTGGGACCTCTTTTTACTGACCTTAGAAGGATGGAAGTCTGAGTCAACCTTAAACCAGTGAGGATCGAACTACTGGCAGTCAGTAGAATTAGCTTTCAATGCCGCATTCTAACCACTGTGCCACAACTGCTCTAGAAGCAGGTAGGTTATTTTAATAGCGGAACAATCTTTAGTTGAAATAGTTCAATACCACAGTATGAGTATTGCATGAAGAAAGGTCCACATTCTGTCCTAATAGTTTGATTTATCAAACTTAGGAGAAAATCATATTCATAATTGTATATAAAGCAAAGACAGCCCTTTTATCTTTTTATCTATCAGTTTTAAAAATAATTTTATTTAATTCCTAATATTTGTTATCTGTGGATGCTATTTATCATCTTTATATTTTTGTGTAGTCTATTTACTTCTTTAATTAATTAATTTAATAAATAAAAGTTTCCCTTAAGTTCATTTAATGACCGTTCAAATTTACAATGGCACTGAAAAAAAGTGTCTTATGTGTCTTTGGAAAGAAAGGTCATAAAATGGGGCAAAAATCACTTAACAATTGTCTCACTTAAGAACAGAAATTTGGGCTTGATTAAGGTAGTAAGCTGAGGACTACATGTAATGAAATGTTACCTAATAAATGTTGCCTAA